AGGAAGGAAGGATGGATGTGATCCAGGAAGGAAGGAAGGAAGGATGGATGTGATCCAGAATGAAGGAAGGATGGATGGATGTGATCCAGGAAGGAAGGAAGGATGGAAGGAAGGAATGATGGATGGAATGATGGATGGATGGATCTCCAAATGTTTGAAAAGCTGCTGATTTCTTTCTTTCTATTCTATTAAAAAAAAAAAAAACAACAACACCTACACTAGATAGTCACTATAATAAATATTTCATAATAATGGTGTGGAGAGGATGGCTGTAAGGGGAGAAGGGAGGCCATCAAGAAAAAAAAAAAAAAAAAAAAAAAAAAAAAAAAAAAAAAGCTGCTGCTTCAATACCTCTGGTTTTGATGAAGGCTCTTGGCTTGTGTCCAGCTGTTGATCTGAACATCTCGGATCAGGAGCTGTCGAAGTGCCAGAGTTTGGAGTATGTTCTGCTGAAGTGGAGGTCTCAGTCACTGGTGGGTTTGCCTTCAGCGCCACGCGAGTCCCATTTGACACCAGCATGAAAACATCGCTGTGGGACTGCAGGAACTAAACAAGAAGAAAGAGACCAACAAAGTCCATGTTCAATAATCCAGAAGAAAGAGAGCAAAGAATTTGAATTATACGTACAAGAAATATTCAAATGTTAGTGGCAGACAAGACGTTATAAATGAGTCCTCGTGGCTCAATAAGACTAGCCTGTCTAAATAAAGGTTGAATGAAAAAATAAAAGTATCCACTGCACCTTTCCAATTGGACCATACTGTTTTCTGAACTTTTTGCTCCAGGATGAGCCAATTTTATCCATGAGCTTTTGACCCAGCTGGTCCACCAGAACACTCTTCAATGACTCCTAGTGGATGGCAAAGGCACAGGGGTTTATAGCTGTTCAGCATTCAGCAGTCCAGCCACAAGGAGGTCTGAAGACTTTGAGTGTACCTGGGCAACTATTGTCGTGAGAACAAACAAAGGATCGTCGTCTTGTGGTTTCTGTTCACAGGATTCCTTGACTTGATTGATTTTCTTCTGAGTTTTGGGTTTGCAGTCCTCTTCCTAAAAACAAAACATGGAAAAAGAAATAGGGGTGTAAAAGTACACCCATCACAGATTGGTACAACAGTAAACGTAATCAAATGCCTAAATATATATTTTTCTTATTCTTCCAGATAGCTCTTCTAAAAAAGCAAAGCACCGTTGCTAAGATTTAAAATAGATAATGTAAAGCAAGGTAACAAAAAGGTTAAATCATGTCCAGATGACACGATTTAACCTTTTTTTAAATGTATTTACCTGGATGATTGAGCTTACAACTGTTTTTGTAAAGTAAGAAGTTTTTATCAACGAGTAACTTCAATAAATTTTCAAAAAAAGGGGAGAAAAAATAATCACATGCTTTTTTTCTTCCTATCTGAACGGTACACACCGTTCTACAGAAAATGTGATCAACTCTAGAAATGTCACACTCGCTTAATAAAATATAAAAAAATGAAGGCTAAAAAATAAACTGCATCAAGCAGTAAGCTGATGTCCTGTCACTTAAGGATTTGAACAGTGAATGTTTATAGTTTTTTATGATGAGTCTTTTTCTGGACTGGAATTAAACATGAAATGCAGGTGAACCTTAATGGTTTTGGTGATATAAGTAGATAGGAGTTACATTGTGTAGAAGAAAAGTTGTTTTTTTCATTATTGCTTGTCCCAGTTGACGCAGAGCGACTGATCCTGGTGAGTGGAGGGAGCAATTTGTCTATGACCAAGCACAGCGGCAGAGCTAGAGGGTGGCCAATGGTGGCCTTGGCCACCGTACATTAATCTTCAGCCACCACACCAGCCATTATTTGAGGAAATTATACTTTTAAGCTACATAAAAACTAGAAAGCATAGTTTGCAAAAAAATAAAAGGGGTGGTAAGTTTATAACATATATGGCAACTGCCATCTTGGATTTGACGTGGCAATCCAATTTTCAAAAGGAACATATTTTTCATGAACACAACAGGCACAAACGCACAGACGATATTTCCAATTCCCCCTTTTACTCCGTGATGGGAGACAACAAAAAACAATAAATGTTTCCATCCATCCATCATCTTTACCCCATTCTTCCTTTTCAGGTCGTGGGTGTCACTGGTGCCCATATCCAGCAGTCACTGTGTCAGAGGCGGGGGGACACCCTGGACAGGTCTCCAGTCCATCACAGGGACACAGAGACAAACGAGACAAACAACCATTCACTCTCTCTCACCTAGAGACAATTCAGAGTTACCAGTCAGTCCAACATGCATGTTGTTGGTCTGTGGGAGGAAACTGGAGCACCCGGAGAAAACCCACGCATGCACGGAGAGAACATGCACACTCCAGCCAGAAAGACCCCGGGCCAGAATTGGATCGACGACCTTCTCGCGGAGAGGTGGCAGCTCTACCAACTGTGCCACTGTGCAGCCACCAAAAAATGTTTGCTTCAGACAACGGATTTAACCTGAACTGAGTAACAGCTCCCTAATGTGAAACAATGATGTGAGAAACATCAACTTTGTGCTTTTTTTTTTTTTGCAAAAGGACATAACTTTTGGTCAAACTCAAAAATAAAATAAAAAATAAAAAATGAGTGAACAGAAATGTTCCTAAACAAAAGTACTTTAACTTGTCATTCCTGCTGTAGCTACCTGGAAAGGTACAAACATGGTACTTTGAACAATGAGACATCACTTACCTTTTGCTTGTAACTTTATAAAGTATATTTTCCACCTTAAAAAGTGAAAATGTTAACGTTCAAGATAAGCTAATGTACTTTCTGGTACATTTTTGTACTTTAATTTTTTTATTTATATAAATGTTAGAGAATTCTTGGTATGAATATCTTTATTATATTATGGCTGAGAACATCGTGCTCAAAACGTTCTCTCGTCTCAGTGTGAAGCCCAGTTCTCCAACTCACAGGGCCTCACTGGTGTTGACGCCATGAGAACATGCCCAGAACATCCTCTTATCTCCATCTGGAGGTCGACTAGCCGACGCCCATGGATCATGTGTGTGCGTCTGACAGCAGCAGCTTGTGAGGGAACACCTGCTGCTGTACAAGTCTGCAGAAAACTCTGACGCTCATTCAGTGACATGATCCACGCATTGTGTATCTGTGCATAGAATCCGTCTCTGAGTCCTTGCAAGGAAAATGCTGGTTAAAAATCTCTTGCCGTTGTGTGTGGTTCTTTTAAGCGAAAATGTTTTCCTCCAACAATAAAGTTATAAGTTATGTATAACTGTTCTGAATCAGACCGACCAGTCTTTAAGCTTCTACTTTTTAGTCTGAACTTGCCATTCATGCTTTGTTTAATGTAAAGTGTGTCCGTACCCTGTACTGTTGCATAACGACACAAAAGGTGCTGCCTCTTTTTAGACACGTATATTGGTTGTTTATGCATGCTAAAATAATGTCAAAGTACATCACATTCTGAAAAACAAAGAAATCCAATAGTTTTAATTCAAATATGTTCTCACCGGAGGCTTCCACTGGCCAAGTTCATCAATGTCTCTGATGTAAACATGGTAATGGCCTCCGTAGCAGCCTCCCTTATGGATAATCACCGAGAACAACTCGTAGGTGAAATCAGAGTCTGCTCCATCGGTCTGTGAGGGGGAAACATCGGGGGCTTGAAGACATTTCAAATTAGCTGAATGTTTGTGGCCAACAGCCCTAAATGTGTAAACAAGAGAAGGAACCTGTTCACAAAACGGTCTTAGGTTGATGGTAAGGGGGAAACTGTAGCATCCCGTCTCCTTGTACCGCTCAAGTTTCGTAAAGTCAAAGCTGAATCTCAGCAAAGACATGGTCATGAATGGAGGCAGCTGTTTCAGCTTGGCAGACTGAAAAATGTCAAATAAAAAAAGAAATCATTCAGTTTTTGAATGTATTATAATGTGCGTCTGTTAATGTGGAAACAGGAGCCGACAGGCGCCACTGACCTTGGCAGCAGTGACCAGTCTGTCACACTGAGCACAGCGATACAGGTTACTGCCCTCAAACAACTCTTCCTCCACAAACATGTTCCATAAAGCCTCCTCCAGGCTCGATACACCACAAACACACACCGTCAGGTCCAGGAAGTCTTCCTGCAGTCAATATAAACAAACAGGAAGTAGGCTGCAACATCTCCAGGCATTACATAATCATTTTCTTCCTAGTCAAAAACAAAAACTGATATTTTATGATTTGGTAGTTCATTACTTTTATGGTACCTGTTGAGTTTACAGTTTTTATGCTTGTATGTGTTAGTGTGCAGCACTTTGGCCAACGGTGTTGTTTTAAAGTGCTTTATAACTAAAGTTGTATTGTGTTGTATAAAAACACATTTTAAAGCAGATTATTTGTGATCAGGTCAGCTTGGTTTGAAGAGGCAGACAAGGACACACCTGTCTCTGGCTGACGTTTCCACACTCCTTGCAGACAATGCTGTTGACAATGGTCCCGTGGTACAGGTGGTGGATAAACGTGCTGCCACTGGTGCCCACAAGAGAGTGCTCCAAAGCACTGAACAGGATCCTGTTCAGCTCCTGCACGTCGTGTTGACTTGTCCTCTTGAAAATGACAAAAATAACAAGAAAAACTAAATAATAATTCATGCAAAGAAAGCGTTTCAGTAAATCTTTTAGTAAAATAAATAAGTAAAATAGCAACAAAACTAAAGACAACCAATCAAAAAGAAATAACCCATCGGTGGATCATAAACTGCAGCAATCGACAGTTTCAGAATAAATTTTTCACAGAACAGAAATAAATTTGACTAACACTAGTTTTTCTTTCTAACAGGGCTGAACAAAAAAAACTACCAAATGTCATAAAACCTGTTGGAGAGATAAACAAGTAGCAAAAGGTACCCATAAAGCTGAGTGTCAGTTGTGATAACCTTCATCAACACAATCTGCAGGCTTCCTTCCTCAGATAGAGAACTGGATTAATTGGCATTTATATTGTATGTGAATCTGTTCAGTGCCCTGAGAAAACTTCTGTTGTGACTTGGTGCTATATAAATAAAATGAATTGAATTATTTACAATTTAATACATACTAAAAGTGTTTGCAGTGTATAATTATTTTGATGGATGCAATCTTTTGAAATACACTAAATTTTAAACCCTATAAAACTGACATTTAAGATTCTGAGCCACAACAGTACTACTAGTTTAAAAGACATCACTGCGTCATTTTTTCCAAGTACTGTATTTTTTTGCTGTATAAGTCACACCTTTTTGTATAAATTAGCATGCCTGCAACTTATACAGCCAAGCAACTTATTTATGTTTTTTACTCATATTCATAATCCAATTTTTGGCTGAGATCTGACGATTTCATTCATTCTGACATGGAAAGTATTGAACACTAATATTTTCAGCCACTAGAGGGCCCTCGACTAATATGGCAAGCCAAGTGTCTCATTAATAGGTCAAAGTGTCTATTAATGAGACACTTGGCTTGCCATACAGAGCCACCTTCGTCTTGCTCCGGAACTCCAAATGTCGAAGCAAACGTCAAATCAGCTGCATTTCTCTGCGCCGCCCAGGAGAAATGCAGCTGATTTGACCATTTATTAAGGAAAAGTTCAACTGAGACACACCTTTACTATAATGTTGAGCAAACACATAATTGTTTTAGGTGATTATTTTGTTAAGTTTCGAAGAAATGCACAGCGAGTCCTCCCCTCTGCGTGCTCCAGCAGCTGCAAATCGGCTTTAGAAATGCAGCTGATTTGATTGTCAAAGGGCATTTATTAATAATAATAATAAATAAATAATAAAGTGCTATGCGTTGTTATCATTGTATGTTCCCAAACAAAGACTAAATTGGCTCTCTGCGTTTGATCCATTGCGCCTGGGGTGGGCCTGGGTGGGGCGGTGGGTGGCTGGGTGGGCCCCCACAGGGTGCTTCGGGATTGGGTGTCCTGCTCAGAGACAACACAGGGTGTGCAGGGACTGGGGATTGAACCCAGGACCTTTGCGTCCCGAGTCGGCTGCCCTGCCCCTACTGGCCCTAATGAAAAGTTCAACAGAGACACACCTTTGCTATAATGTCGAGCAAACAAATAATTGTTTTTAAGTGTTAATCTTGCTAAATTCTTGTTCAAGTCCTCCCGTGCACGCTCCTGCAGCCACCATTTGGCAGCCAATCGATTTTTGGCACAACACCGGCCCACATTTCCGGTTTGTCAGCGGTGACACATAACAGATGCGACTTGTATGGTGAAGCAAAGCATTTATGTTTTTTCCACTTCATGAGGCATTTTTGGACTGATGCGACTTATACGCCCGTGTGACGTGTACGGCGGCAAGTACGGTTGATAATTATCTTTACATTCTGTGTAAAACTTGTTTTTTCTGTAGGCAATAATTTTGCAGAAACATTTAGATGATCTTCAGATCACAAGAAGGAAGGGAATTCCAGTCCTTGGGGCTGACTGAGGGGTTAACTCAGTTACTGAGATGAAATGTGCAGCGTAAGCCCCTTGATCTTGTTGCGCTTACAGATGATGAGCACAGACCTCATTGTTGTTCCAGCCAAAGCTGGCGGTGAGGTCAGTGGTGGAGGCGCTCTGCTGGTCCACCAGTAACAGACGAGCAAACAGCCTCTGAAGCTCCAGGGGAATCACTCTGACCTGAGGGGAGAAGGAACAAAACTATAAACACCTAAATTACGTGGGTGGTGATAAACACAAGCGTCTTGCTTTGTGTACTTTCGCTCCGGGCTTGTCTTTGTCATCGAGACATCCCAATTCTTCTGGCCCCAACTGGAACAGCTTCTCTGCAAACACAAGCCCAGCAACATGAAAAGAGTTTCAGCTGTGGTGCTGAAGTGGGGTCACCTGTCCATACCTCTGAACTCAGGGGTGAACAGCAGAGTCTGGAGCAGAGAGTTCAGGTAGCACGTCCCTCCCTGGTTCTTGATGCCGCACAGATTGCTCCTTCCACGGGGAGGAGGTGGCTCGTCGCCCCCTTTGGCACTTCGTACTTTGGAGGAGGCTGAAGAGAAGCCTTCGTTCTCCTCTTCTTCAAAAAGATTTCCAAACATTCTGAGTTGTTCCTGGTTTTCCTCTCTGTCTCTGTGTGTTTCTGTTAGTTATGCAGCAAAACGCGTGTTAGCACTCCGACGTGCCCTCTTGCTATCTCATCTTGGTCTTGCCGAGTTCTCGGTCGACAATGGCTGGACTGACTCTGAAGTAAGAGGAATTTACGGGGTTAAACATTGCGAATATTACCCTCAGTGTGTGCTGCGTTTACAGTTGTGTTACCGATTTAGCACGATTACAAATCTCAATCAATCGCAGCCCTTCACCGACGAACAGATTGACAGCCGAGCAAAACTGATATGAAATCTGACAGTCGGTGTCCGAACTGCTCGAACAAAGCAGGTCGTCTGACCGAAACACAAACTAACAATTAAATTAAACTCCTACTCAAAAGTGGCTTTGGACACAAGCCTCTGTCTTAAAAAAGATAGTAAACTAAACGTAAATAAAGACACCATAGCTGAACAGTGAGCCGCCATGTTTCTCCTCGTCGAAGACTGGAATGAAGCATTGTGGTACTTGTAGTCCCAGCGAGGCGATCTTAAAATAAACTGGAGAAATTATTTTACCTAAACACCTATATTTTTGTTAGTTGCTTTACATATGTTGTGAATTTGTGAAACAAAAATGCATATAAATATATTTTTAAACGTTTTTATTTTTTTAAGCAACGTAGATAAAAGCTGCATTTCCGGTAACCGAGAGTTTTAATTTCCATAAGTATTATGGAAGTTGTAGTTTTTAAGGAGCAACCACGATAATGTTTTTTCTTTTGTTTGTTTTCCAAAAACTAAATAAAAGACCTAAATGATTGTGAACGCATAAACAACCAGAGTCAAACATTGTTTAATAACATTTTTTATAATTTACAGTCACTTTTCATTTATAAATTATTCCATGCAGTCCGAGGTAAATTCAAGTTTAGTACAAAGTTATATAAGAAGATGTAAGAAAATAAATATTCCAGTTTTATAAACAAAAAAAAAAAACAAGATATAATTTTAAATGAAAATGTCCTTATAGATAGATAAATTGTGATTTTAAAGGAGATTGAGTTGTATTAATTTCTCTCATGCAATCCACACAAATAGATACACAAAAACATTAAATAATATATATTGATTGTGAACATTTACAACATTTATATGAGCTCAAACCTTAATAAATGGTAATATTTCAGTCATTTGTTTGACTGTTAAATAAAATTTTTACCAAATCTATCTCATTTATAAACTTTCTGTCTACAAAGTTATAAAAACACACAATAAATCATACACAAAGCGAGTACAAAAAGACGCGAGCACACCTTTTTCACTCTAGTAAGTTTTTAGCTTGAATATTTTGGTGAGAGGTGCTTTGGCACTTGAGTAGATTAAATATGATTCTCCTTTAGAGCTGAAAAACTCCCAGTCACTGCACCCGATTGTTGGGAGCCAGTGAATAGGAACAAATCCTTCATATCCCTGCCACCTAGAAATAAACACAAATAAGAAATTACAACAATGGAGTGCAGATCCTTATTGTTCACACATCAAACGTGTTGATTGCTTTAAAATGTTACATCAGTCTTGAGTTATGGTCCTAAGATGGTTTCATGACAGGTCCCACCTGACACAAAGATTGATGAAGGACTTCATATGAGAAGAGGAAGCTGTTGACAAGTTAAATACCTGTAAAGAATGCTGTTGAGAGAGTAGGATTCTCCGCTGTAGGAGTTAGCAACAACTAGAAAATATTCCTCCCCGAGGCTGAAGAACTCCCAATCCACTGCGCTGGGAAAAAAGATGATGGTTAAGTGGAGATGATGACTGAGTGAAATGACAGCCAACATCTTTAAACACAAAAATTATCTTGTGGTCTGTGTTCGCACATGCGTCTGTTAGATCTCGTCTGACGATTACACATCGATACCTGTGGGTGACGATGTCCTGGAAGCGGACAAACATCCGTCCACTCATGTCCAGCTCGTAGACGGTTGAGTTAATGGTGTACTGACTTGGTCCGTTACCGTCGAGTCTGTGTCCGTTGGCAACAACCAGAAACACTCTGCTGCCAATCTGGAACATTTCCCAGTCTGTGGCACAGAATGTCTACGTTTCCATGAAGAGAAAATGTATTAATCAGTTATCCCTCAAGGGGAGCGTTCATTACACAGCACTCGTGGGATGGATGTGTGAACGAGTGTGAACATGCAAGCGGAGATACAAAATATAAACTACAGCAGACGGGTAACAGTGTAAAGAAACAGAAATCTAATAGCATGGATGTGAGAGAAAAAATACGTTAGATGCTTCTGCACAAATGTACAAAGCCTGTGCTTCCATGAAAGAATGGATATCACTCGCCACTTTTTCAAGAGTTCAAAGCTAAACGTCTTCTTATGGTGAGAAATGATAGCGTTGTTTTGGTCAAACCTTGAAAAATGTTATGTGCTTTTAAGAAGTCTGTCATATGTCAGCTCTCAGAGCAAGCGTTTGGACTGACTCTCAGCTACTACCACGCAGCACAGTATCTGCTGAACTAGTTGAGTCATAGCCATTTTTGTGTTTGTGCAGTTCACTTAGCTTCGGTGCACATTTTGAATTAATGTTATATCCTGTTGTAGACTACTTTCTGAACGTTTCGCTGAAGTCTGTCCACTTAGATATTTTGCTAACAGAGACACAAACAGAAAACTTGAAGCGTCAGTGCTTACATTTTGTCTTTTTGCTGCTAGGGATAAAAAAAAAACATCATGATCTGTACTAGATCCTGCTGAGCAGATCCAGTTTCTGTTTATATTAAGGTGGTAAAAAGTGAGTCCTCTGTGACTTTAAGACGTTTTGTTTTCAGGATGCAGACGGCAGGATCTTCTCTTAAACACTAATCGCCTGGTAGATGTGATTTTACATTACAGTACATCAAGCTTTGAACAAGCATCAAAAATGTTGGTAATACACCAAGGATGAGCACAGGGCGTGAGCATCAGTGTTGAACAAACATAAAAACAAGACACATTTTCCACAAGTGGCTGAGAAAAACAGGTTGCAGAAAAGAACTGCCACACTACAAACATGTAAAATCATTGACTCATCATTCGCACTAATCTCAAAGGAAATGATAACTAAAATGCAAAGCGTTTTTCTAAACCAACACCTTTCTCCCACCATCAAACACATTTTTTATTTTACTTTTTTATTTATCCTTTATTTATACAGGTTAGTCTCACTGAGTCACCAGGACTCATTTTCAAGAGAGATCTGTTTTAGACAGACAACATACAGAGTACAGACAACAATAAACAGCAATAAAAAGCAATTAAAATAAAAATAGTGTTATAAAAACACTGTTACTGTTAACAGCATGGTCCGGTTAGCAGTGTGCCTCTGTCAGCAGCATGGTCCCGTTAGCAGCATGGTCCTGTTAATAAT